TTGCGATGCCTGGCTTCATGAGCGATGCTAGAAAGGCAAAGCCTCTTGCACGCACTACCATAGAGCCTTCACGGCACACCACGTATCGACCCTCGCCGCATATCACGGAGGAGTCTACCTTGCTTGAGTTGTTGCAGGATCCAGGGGTGCCGTCAAAGACCGCCTCCGGGTCTAGAGATCCTCCACCTGACTCTGATGACGAGCTGAAGTCTAGGGCAAAGTCCTCTTCAGCAAGAAAGCCAAAGGCTAAACCAAGTCCAAAGGACAAGGTCAAAGGTGCAAAAGCTCCTAAACCTGCTGAAGCAGCGAAGGCTCCGGAACCTCCTGCTCCAGTAGAACCCGAGGTCCCGCCACCTCCACTTCCTCCACCTGCCATTCCGCCAGGTTCTGGGTCGGACTCAGGAGAGGACGTAACATCAGAACGTCAGAAGCAACTCATCAAGGAGGCCTCTTCAATGGCACACAAGTTGACGCATATCCCTAAGAATCCCTACTGTGAGATATGTCAGCGAAGCCGCATGTATCGACAAAGAGTCACCAAGAAGCGTGCAGAGCCTCTCGAAGACAGAGGTGACTTGCCTCCTGCTGAACAGTTTGGCGAGAGGATTGCAACAGACTATATAATCCCTTCGAAGCGTGAGCATGCAGTCCATGTCATCAGGGATGAATATAGTGGTGCACTGCGAGCTTTTGTCTGTGCGCGCACAGCTGAGAGAGCAGCTCAGAACCTCCTTACCTTTGTAGGCGCCCGATACAAGCACCTCCCGAACGTGTTGTGTAAGGCTGATGATGCAAAGGAGTTAATAGCTGCCGTCTCACAAATAGGATGGGTGCATGAAGCGACCCTAGAAAACAGATTTCCACACAACGCCCAACTTGAGAGAGAGATAAGAACTCTCGAGGAATCGACTCGCGCGGTGCATTTGGCTGCTGGGTTCCATGTGGTTCCAGATCTGTGGCATGTGTCCGTGCAGTTTGCCGCGCAGACTTTGACAGTTGTACCGTGGCAGGGCAAAGACAAGTCGCGTTTCGAGGTTGCAACTGGTTCCCCATTCGAAGGCCCAAGGCTTCCCTTGGGACAGTTGGTGCATTACAGGATCCATGACCCCAGCCGCAGGCATAAGTTCGAAGCTACAACTGCTCCCGGACTATTTGCAGGTTGGAGGTTTGAGCACGGATTTGTGTATCGTGACGTGATCTGGGTGCTAGACTATGAAGCCGTCAAGTCCAAGTCGATTGGGTATAGGGACATGATCCCCGTGCCATATGCGGAAGTGCATGTCCCAGAGACTGAGACCTTCCCGCTAAAGGCCGCGGCGGATCTTGCTCTTCGCGAGTTCCAGGATCCCAAACTTGAGGCTATCACAGCGCTGGACATACCATTCAGCTCACTGTCCCCTGCTGATCCTCCTCGAAGGCGCGCAGAGTACATTACGCTTGAACGCATTCTTAAGTTCGGTGCCACACCAGGATGCAAAGCATGCACTTTCGATTCCGTGAAGCATAGTCCTAAATGCCGAGCAAGATTCGATGCCCTGATAAAGGCTGATAGGATTGCGTTGACGTCCAAGCCCCCTGAGCCAGTTCCTCCAGCTGAGCTCCCCGAAGGCGTTGGTCTCCACCCTTCGAGTGAGCCCGCTGTAGAAGGTCTTGTTGCGAAGGTCGAGCTCGGTGTGACGCAAGTCTTTGTCGATGCCAACAGGGAAAGAGTCCGCCAAAGAAAGGTGCAAACGCTCATAGGCAAGGATGTGTTGTTCGAATATGCGTGTGGCGACAGTTCAGAGCTTTCGCAAGCTGCATCCGAAATTGGCATCAACAGTATCCGCTTATGCCGAAGCATGATTGATTTGTCCAACGAAGAACATGTCAAACAAGTTCAAGGTCAGGTCGAAGCATCGCCAGGTTGTGATGTGTGGCTCTCATTGCCGTGCACCGAGTTCAGTCCGTGGCAGAACATGAACGTCCATAGGCATGGGGCGAAGTACGATAAGGGTCTTCGGAATCGCCAAGAGAAGAGCAAGCTTATGTTCTTGTATGCCCGCAAGGTACTCGCAACTGCCATCGCAAATCATGGAAGGATCGCAGTCGAGTGGCCCAAAGGGTCCGGCTGGTGGGATCTCCCTGAATGGAAAGAATTTCAGGATGAACATGGTCTACACAAAGTGTCTTTTGATGGCTGCATGGCTGGAGTGAAGGGCCGAGAGCATCCAATCCGCAAGCCCTGGAGCGTAGCCACTAATGATCTGCGACTTGTTCAATTTCTTGGACAACTGCAATGTGACGGTAGCCACCAGCACGAGGCCGCCGAAGGCTCACAAACAAAGCAGACTGAAGCATACCCACGAGAGCTCGCTCACAACATCGTCGAAGCGTGGTATCCGCAACGCTACCATCGCCACATCCCCTCCATGGTCACGAAGAACTTAACAAAGCGGGAATGGAAAGCAGACCCGCGCGGAGTTGCAGCCGTGAAGAAGGAGGCAGAAGGGTTACGTTCTAACGGAACGTGGGATGATTTGACAGTCTGTCTTTTGTCTTCCTTGCGTGCCGATGCAAAACGGCAAAACCGTAAACTCAAAATTGCAGAGCTTCTCACATTATGTGGGATAAAACATTTCGAACTCCCTGAGCATGAACACAAGTTCAAAGGGAGAATCGTGTACAGGGGGGACTGCATTTTTGACCAGTTCGGAAACCATGTTCTTTTTGAAGACGTGGCTACCACACCAACTTCCTTGGTTGCCCTTAACATCGCATTGTTTTTCGGCTGCCAAGATGGAAACGCAGTGAGCCTTGCAGATGCCATTCAGGCATTTCTTCAAGCTGACCTCGCTGAGGCAGGAGAGCCCGACACATGGGTTATCCTCCCCGAGGAGCTGTGGTTGGACACATGGCACAAAGCGTACCCATCAGGGTCGAAGTTGGTGGTAAGGTTGAAGCGAAGCTTATATGGCCATCCGCTTGCTGGCAAACTATGGCAGAAACACCTAGCCTCTGTTCTCACTTCCTTTGGTGGCATTGAGATGGATTTGTTTCCTTCAAACTTCATCTTTCAAATGGGTTCCCATACCCTGCTACTTAACGTGTATGTAGATGACCTAACGTTGTCGGGAGCAAAGCATCTTCATGCACAGTTTTGGAAAAGGCTGAGAGCGCATATCAAGCTGGAAGACGAACGTTACATCGAAGCCTCGAATGCACGGATCCTTGGCAGAGGTCACCGAATCCAACGAGGTAGTGACTTCACAACTCTTGTGCTTGATATGTCTGCTTTCGCAGAGCAGGTCGTCGAGGCGTACTGCGAGCTTGCTGATGTCCCAAAGGCAAAGCTCCGTAACGTCACAACCCCAAGTTTGTCCGAGGCGTTAATGTCAGATGAGGACCTGCAGCAACCCGGCACACTGAGCCATGTAGCTGCAAAGGTACTTATGAAAGCACTTTGGCTGGGTCGGTTGGCTCGCCCTGATCTGTGTTTCATAATCGGTCGGTTAGCGTCACGAGTGGCCGCGTGGACTAAATGGGAAGACAAGCAGTTACTTCGCCTGATTTCGTATCTTCACGGTACAACAGGCTTATGTTTAGCTGCTACTGTGAACCATCACGAAGCTCCCCAGATCCACATCTTCACTGACAGTGATTTCGCCTCTTGTCCGCATAGTGCAAAATCGACGAGCGGGATCTACATGACTATAGGGTCAACAGATTTCCGCTTTCCGCTGTGGTGGGCATCTAAGAAACAGACGAGTGTTGCAAGAAGCACTCCCGAGGCTGAGGCCATAGCAATGGCTTCCGCCATGTTTGGTGAGGCCTTGAACATTCAGGTCATGATGGAGCATCTCCTCGGTCGTGCTATCGACGTCGTATTCCATCAAGACAACGAGACCTTGCTCAAAGTCCTGGCTACAGGCTATTCGGCGAAGCTGAGACACTGCAATCGAGTCCACAGGGTCAACATTGCATCAATGTCTGAACAGCTAGAGTCGCCACAAGTCACTGCCGTGTACTGCAAGAGCGAATCTCAGATAGCTAATGGCCTAACAAAAGTCATTCCACCTGCAGAATGGCCACATACTCTCGCACAGTTTGGCTTGACAGCATCCAGCGATGGACCCCACCTGGAAACTGCCGTCGCCGCACTTGCAGAGGCAAATCTTGCCGCAGAAGTCTTCGCAGGCAGTTGCCCAAAGGTCCCGACTTGTCAGCATCTGGTGCAGCTACTGACGCTGTTACCTCATGGTCCTGATAAGAGGGGGGCACCGGGGCACGACTCGCATGTATTTTCTGCGGGCGCATTTGTCTTAGGAGGAGTGTTTGGCCTGCAGACAAACACACACAAATTTCAATATGCAACGGCGTTGATATGTCGATTCTTTCGACGTTATATGCCATCACACAAGTTCTCAAGCATAATCGTGCAGCAAGGTGTAGTCGCGGGGCTCCACCGAGACTCCAACAATGCAGAAGGCTCAAAGAACCTCCTTGTAGCGTTAAATCCAACAAGTGGACCCATATTGTGGGTAGAAGATGAGGAAGGGACTGTCCAATGTCCAAACGACGACAGCCTATGGGGTCACATGTTGTGTAACCCTGCACTCTTCAATCCCAGAGCACGCCACTGCACAGTCCTGACAGGATGTGAGGCTTCAGAACGAATCGTTGCCATAGCATTCCTGATCAGAAATGCCGAGCGCTTGAGTCCTTCAGACCGCGCAACACTACTGAGCGCAGGTTTCAACCTGCCCTCAATCTGCTAGTCCAGTCTCACCGTTCTGTCTCCTAAAGGGGGGAGTTAACTAAACTGGCCCCAAACCACCGTTTAGCTGTACATACCAAGTAGGGTTAGGAGAGCAGATTCGGATGACTGATTGTATTTTGGCTCAAGGAAAATAGGCGTGCCCGTTGTGCGTCTTTCCTTGTCTTAAGTACCTTTGTTGTACTTAACTTGAATAGGTTTTTTTTGAGGGGCTTGTCGGGCCTTGGCGGCGCTCCCGCCTTCTGAGGCTTCGTGTCCGTCGCCGGGGTCCCAGCGGTGCCGGAGAGCATGGCGGATGGCCTAACCCTAAGCCCTGAACCCTAAACCCTAAACCCCAAGCCCTAAACCCTAAACCCTAAAGCCTAAACCCATTTGGCCCCAAGCATCAAGCCCCTGACCAAGATCAGTGATCTCAGATGCAATCAAAAATGGAGTATTCTGAGGCAGTTGGTTCAGTCAGCGCATGAACGTTGCATGAACTATACCCAAAGGTCTTGGAATACCAAGACTTGCGGGATCCTGGGCAACGGTATGAAGGCGACTTGAAATGAAAACGAGCTAAACCCTTACACCCTTTAAGTTAAGCGCTGAGCCCCTTTTGATGACCCGTAAGCCCTCTTGGCCCAGAACCCCTTGGTGGCTTCAAGGGGAGAGCGACCTGAATTTGTGTTCATGGCTTAGGGTTTAAAGTCTAAACGTCGAGGACCTAGATTCAGGGACTACGTTCAAGGGATTGAAGGAGGGACCCTTATGAGGGACCTTGTGGGTGTATTTGGGGGTTATTTAAGGCATACTTAGGTATATAAGGACTATATCAGGTACATATAGGGGTTATATACGGGACTAAGATCAAGGGTCCCCTCTAGGGGTCCCTCCTTGTACCCCTTAGTACGTGGTTTTGGAGTTTTGCGCTTGCCTATGAGGCCGTCAATGTCCTCTTCCTGCTTAGTCTGTTCCGCTGCCGCCCAAGCTGTGGCTGAAGGGCAGGTTTGGGCTGTAGGGTGTCGGATTTAGGGTTTAGGTAGGGTTTCGGGTTTAGGGTTTAGGGTGTAGGGTGTAGGGTGTAGGGTTTAGGCCTTAGGCTTCAGGGTTAGGGTTTAGGGTTTAGAATGGCAAGCCCATGAACATGATACCTTCTGTAGGCTTTTGTTGTGGAACTGCCGTTGTCCAATTCCTAGAGCATCTGCCAACCCCTAAGCCCTAAATTGTGCTGCGGGGTGCTTGAACCCCTTTAGGGTTTAGGGTTTAGGGTTTAGGGTTTAGGGTTTAGGGTTTAGGGTTTAGGGTTCAGGGTTCAGGGTTTAGGGTTTAGGGTTTAGCAGGGTTCAGGCGTTTCACCGGCGAACCGTTGAGGCAATGGGGCAATTTTGTGTATGACCTCGGATCGTGGTACCCCAAGGTCCCAAGAATACGTGAAAGCTTTAAACCCTACCTGAGCAATCTCAATGGTTACCCCGAAAAAGGGCGAATGTACCTTGAGTATTTTTTGCAAATTTTCAGGTTATATGAAACAAGTTTTATATAAGTGTTCTTGGTGAGTGTATTTGGGGTTCCGCATGTTGTTGAGTGTTTTTCAGGGGTGCCCTTTCGGGGACACGAGATACCTAAACCCTACTTCGTATGAATCATTACACCTACTCTAGACAAACCCTCAGCCTTGCGAACAGTTAGGGTTTATAGGGCCTTTAGGGTTTAGGGTTTAGGGTAAACCCTAAACCCCAAACCCTAAACCCTGAACCCCGATCACTTCACCCCAAGCTGCAAAAGGCCTGTCCCGCGCCATGCGCCCAACTGTGGAGGATCGTTTGTTGACGCATGTCTCTTCTAGGGTTCAGGGTTTTGGGGGAGTTTTGGCTTTGGGGGTTTCAGGGTTTAGCGTTTGCGGTTGGGCTTTAGAGGTTTGGGGGTTTAGGGTTTAGGGGTTGAAGGGTTTTCGCGTTTCGGGTTCTAGCGTTTGGGGTAGAGAGGGTCGTTTAGGGTTTTTTTGGGTTTCGGGTTTGGATGCTCCAAACGCTGAAACGCTGTGATGTCGGGCCGCCAGTAGCCTACCCCTCACGCAAGTTGCAGGTGCTAAGAGAGCAGATCGGAACCCCTGTTCAGAAAGCGGGCCTAGAGATTTGGGAGCGGGTATTTCGGGTGCCCTTACCCCTAAACCCTGAACCCTAAACCCTCAACCCTTTGCCCTAAACCCTTTTCCCGCAAATCCCCGAAACCCCAAAGCCTCGATGTGTAGGACTCGGACGACGAAGAAGAAGCTGAAGCGGCCACTCGGGACGACGAATTTATGGGGTTTAGGCCCAGGGTTTGTAGCGTTTATAGGGTTTGTAGGGTGTGCAGCGTTTAAGGCTATTAGGGTTTGTAGGACTTAGGGTTTTTAGGGTTTAGGGGTTTAAGGCTTCAAGCTGGCTCAAGCGGCTCGCCCGCTTCGTCTGACATCGATGCCGAAGAAGATGCTATCAATGCTATGCTTTCTGGGTTTAGGGTTTACGCTGCTTTCTCCTTGAAGCACTTGAGAAGAAAACAGTCCCCCTGTACCATACTTCACCACTATCTGCCGGGCGGTCCGAACCTGTTTGTTGGTGTCAGCAATTGGTTCGGGCCTTGAGCGTCGTGTTTTTTTGTGGTGTTTCTGTTCGGACAGGGCTTAGGCAGGAGGTATCCTGTTCACACTTTCGCTTCTAATCTCTCAGCGTGTGCCCGTGAACCAGACGAAGATGTGTACAGATCATTTACGGCCGTTCCCTTGATGAACGTAGTATTGCTAAGCATACGGGAAAAATTCAGCTCACTCAAGTCCGAAACTTTGAGGGGCTTTTGCCCGAACTATTCTTTGCTCACTTTTCCTTGTCTACACCTAACATTGGGAAGTAATCACAAATGAACGTCTGAGTTTAGTTCTTAAACTCTTCTTCGCTGGCTTTTATTGCGGGCCCTCCTAATACAGTATCTGAAGACGCACGGCATGGTTTTCTATCTTTCGAGGGTGCATGAGCAGGAGGGCGTCAACTAGGGAATATAGGGTTTGGGGTTGTTAGGGAAGTTTTATAGATGCTTGAAAGTTTACACATCTATGGGGCCTTTGTTGGGAGGCCTGGAAAACTATCATATCCCAATCTACGGGAGGTGACATGGTTCCTTACCTTCCTTACAGGGTGCTGAAGTATGGGCCCTCGGGTTTTATAGGGTACATAAGGGGTATAAGAGTTCCCCAATTATCAATAAAGGGCCCCATAGCAAGGGACCACGCAACGGCCATTAATGAGGTTTCCCCGGATAGAGCAATGCCCCTCAAGTGCTGTATTTCACCTATATGTGTTCAGAATCAGGTCCCGGGCTGGGTTTCAGATATATGTCCGACCCTCAGAACCCAAACCCTAGTTTGTTGATATAGCCCTCCTCAGGATGCTTAGATGACCTACAACAAAGTAATACAGGGCTCGGAGTATTTACCAATAGAACTCCCTTCGGGTCCTTTGTAAACATACCACAGTAACCCCCCAAAAGCCTATTTTAATTCTTAAGGCCCCTATAATAGGAAATTTGGGTTCTTGAGGCACCCGTTTATAAGGGGCCTGGGGCACTCTGGGCCTTGGCCTGGAACTGCATGTTGAGGTGAGGCTATGTGAGGAGCACGCGATCGAAGCAGAGGCACTGATGGGGTGGGGTCATCCCTACGTAAAGGGGGCACTCCGAAAGCAAAGGGGTCCCTAAACCCTAAACCCTAAACCCTAAACCCTAAACTTTAAACTCCCTCCCGTCCCCAAAAGTGTACAATAACGTTAAAAATACATAAGACTAAGCCCTGTGCAAGAATCTTATACACGAAGACAATCCTCAACAGCCTCAACCTGAAAAACACACTGCTCCTAGCCCCGGCCAAAGGTTTAGGGTTTAGGGTTTAGGGTTTAGGGTTTAGGGTTTAGGGTTTAGGGTTTAGGGTTTAGGGTTTAGGGTTTAGGGTTTAGGGTTTAGGGTTTAGGGTTAGGGGCGGAGTACCAGGTGCCCATAGGTTTCACATGTCAGTCGTGTATTTGTAGTTGAAAATAGATGCAAGGCGCTAGATTCTGCAGAGACGCGCCAAAAGGGCTGATCTTTTGTTACTTGTTCAGCTGGACAATGCTGCAACACATTCCCTCAGGCTCCATGTACCTGAATAGGGACGACTTGGGCAATAAAGTACTCCCTATATAGGGACTTTGGGGCCCAAGTATATAATAATAAGGTACATGGACCCTTAGGGACTGTGTGTCAAGCATGCAGAGAACGAGGCTGTAATTTACAGGATTCGAAGCTGTCAATTGCGTGGCACAAACAGAAGCCGAGCTAACGCCACCCACCCGTGTTGAACGCACTAAGCAGGGAAAGTTACGGTATATTTGCTTGTAAGAGGCACAACGATACCGAAGGTAGTGCTTGGGGTCAACAAAGTTTAGTAGCACTGGCGCCCCTGAGAAAGTCACTGCAGGATGAACCCTAAACCCTAAACCCTAAACCCTAACCCTAAACCCTAAACCCTAAACCCTAAACCCTAAACCCTAAACCCTAAACCCTAAACCCTAAACCCTAAACCCTAAACCCTAAACCCTAAACCCTAAACCCTAAACCTTTGCTGGCAAGCAATGAGCTCTGCAGGATGAACTCTTCTGCCTCTCGATCTCGTTCCTCTTCGTGCAGGCGAGTAGAGGATAGCTATACTTGGAGGCTCAGGTTTAGGGTTTAGGATTTTGAGTTTTTAGGGTTTTTAGGGTTTTTTAGGGTTTTTAGGGTTTTTTAGGGTTTTTGGTGTTTTTAGGGTTTTTAGGGTTTAGGGTTCTAGAGTTTATAGGGTTCAGGGTTGGGTTCGGCCGGTCCACACTAACAGTCAAATAACGCCGTGGCCTTATAACACACAGGCCAAAAATAGCACCAGGAATCCCAGTCAATTTTAGCATTTACCGGGTGCTGTTTTTTGTGGGTCTGCTGATGGTGATTGTTAGTCACATAGCACCAGCAACAGCACCAGAAATAGCACCAGAAATAGCACAAACAATAGCACAAAAAATAGCACCAGAAATAGCACAAACAATAGCACAAAAAATAGCACCAGAAATAGCACCAGGAATAGCACAAAAAAATGCACCAGAAATAGCACCAGAAATAGCACCAGAAATAGCACCAGGAATAGCACCAGGAATAGCAGGAATCTCAGTCAATTTTTTGGCATTTACCGGGTGCTTTTATTTGTGGGTCTGCTGGTGGTGACTGTTAGTGTGGACCGGCCGAACCCAAGTTTAGGGTACTTGGAGGTTCAGGATACTTAGTAACCCAATTGTAAGTGCGGTTATACCCCACTTGTCAGCCCCTTAAGTACCGTAAGAGACTCATAATTGGGTTATAAGTGCAGTTAAGTACCATGAGCCTCCAAGTGTCAAACTTTGGTTGCCCAGTGGTGCCCCTCAAGTTCCCTTATCAAGCAGAAAAGGTGCTCTTTTTATATAAACAGTATGGTTGCTGGGCAACCAAGTGAAGGGGAACTCTGGGCTTTTAGGACCCAGAGAAGGCTGATTCCCTTCACTTCGTTGCAAGAGCACTTCCGCTTTGCGGCTTGTGCGCCAGAGTCCTTGCACAGCCTCAGCTGCTGGATTATCCTACACTCGGGAAGTTCGCAGGCGACCGGTACTCCGCCATCTTGACTAAAAAAGGGTGCCCTTTTGATGCCTAGGTAACTCTTGGGGCAGGTCCAGGCTGTCAGACAGGGACTTTATTGTTTTGCTGCTGCGAATGTTGGAGGTGAAAGGGGTCGTGGGGCAGAGCCCCGCCAGCACTACTTCAGATACGTGCATGTGGGCAAGGCGAGAAGTGAAACCCGAGCTTCTTAAGCCCTACACCCTTAACCCCAAACCATGAAATGAAGTCGAGCTATCTATTTGTGGGTTACCTAAGAATGGGCTCTATAAGAAGGAATATTGAAAATTGGGGTAAACCCTAAACCCTAAACGGCCCTAAACCCTAAAACCTAAACCTATTTTAGGTGTACCCCTGAACCCCTGGGCCCACACACACCCTAAACCCCAATAGGCTTTAGGGGTAAAAAAGCCCTGTGCCATGAAACCGTTACATGTAGGGTTTAGGGTTTAGGGTTTAGGGTTTAGGGTTTAGGGTTTAGGGTTTAGGGTTTAGGGTTTAGGGTTTAGGGTTTAGGGTTTAGGAACAGCCGAACATATGACCACGCTACTCCCCGAGCCCCTCCGAGCCCCTCCGCCTGAGGTTTTAGATTTTAGGGTTTAAGAGTTTAAGGGTTTCAAGGTTGTAGTGCTTAGGGTCTAGGGCTTGCGGGTTTTAGGGTTTAGGGTTTAGGGCTTTAGGGCTTTGTGTTTACGGTTTAGGGTTCAGCGGCCTGAACAGGGCCTATAAATCCTAAGTGCCACTCGCCAGGCCGTCCGCTACAGCGTGACGGGCGTCCTCTCCACCAAGCCTCCCACTCAGATTCAGGGGTTTAGGGTTTAGGGTTTAGGGTTTAGGATTAAGGGTTATTTAGGGTTTAGGGTTTAGGGTTTACAGGATTTAGGGCTGTTCCTTAGGGCTTATGGGGGTTTCCGAGGAGGTTGCTTTTGGGAGTTTCAGTAGTAAGATTCCTTAGGGTTTCTTAGGGCTTCTAGGGCTTCACCCTAGTCAGCTTTCCAGGGTTTCAGCAGCAAGGATTCTTAGGGTTTAGGGTTTAGGGTTTAGGGTTTAGGGTTTAGGGAGGATTCTAAGGATTTCTTAGGGCTTCTAGGGCTAGGGCTTCACCCTAGTAGGCCTATGTATACGCCTTGAATCGCGAGTCATACCTGCTCTCTGCGGCCGGGACGACCCCCTCATCGGTTTAGGGTTTAGCGTTTATGGCAGTTTAAGGTTTAGGGTTTAGGGTTTAGGATGAAAGAGAGGGCATAGCACCAGTCTTCGGGTCCCCTACTTGGAGGTTCATGGTCCTTAGTAACCCAATCATAACCTATCATAACCGTAACCCAAATGTAACCGTATTCGGGCACTTAAGGGGCTTCTAAGTGGGTTATAACTGCACTTTCAGTTGGGTGATGGGGTCATTTTGAGTTTCGGGGATAGGGTTTGGGACAGTATATACCCTACGTTCATGCTCTCAGCGCCCCCAAAACATCATCTGTAGGAGAACAGTTCCTCTGGTGCGAAGAACCGTGAAAACTGGAAGATATGCAGCTTGCTCCCCTACAAACTCCCCCCCCCCACTCCCTTTAAAAAGGCAGGGTTTCGGGCTTGTCGTGGTTATAGAACCATCGTGAGATGCTTCCGTGCCCTGCACAAGGAAAGCAAGGGCTTTGGGGGGGGGGGGGGGGGTCTCTTTCGCGTAGAGTTAGGGGTTAAGGGTTTAGTTTTCGGGCTTAGGGCTTAGGGTTTAGGTGGTTGATCTGGAGGACATGTGCCCCAAGAACTGACATGTTCAAATTTGTCCACGGTATTCGACGGAGTTGCTTCTAGGTAGAAATCAGGGCTTGGCCTGAAAACTCTTCGCTACTCGCGAGCGAGCGCGCGCGAGAGAGAGAGAGAGAGCGAGCGAACTGGAGCTGTGAGGAATGGGTCCGAGCCAGGGGAGGCCCCGCTGGTTGTGCAGGGTTCATGGTTTCGGACTTTCGGGTTTTTCGGTTCTTTCTGGCTTAGCGGTCGTCTCAATGACGGCCCCTGTGGCCTGAAGCTGCCTTTGCAGACAGAGAGGCGTATATACTGTGTACATGGACGGTATATTGTTTTACAGCAGACGGCGGCTACCCGGGCTCCAAGTAAACAGATAATGTCTCCATTGGGGCTAACGTCTATAAGTACTGCCTACTTTGGCTGATTTGGAGCCTCGGGTAAACGGTTCAAATTCCATATGTGCAGTTCTCTAAGTTGTGGTCCGGCGGCCCTGACTTTCGTGTTTAGGGTTTAAGGTTTAGGGTTTAGGGTGAATAGTTACGGCACCACAAAGGAACCATAGTTCTGAGAGCCGACCATATGAGGATCCAGTTCAACAACTTTCTGCAAATGAGTGCAAGGCAGAGTTTAGGGTTTAGGGTTTAGGGTTTAGGGTATAGGGTTTAGGGTTTAGGGTTTAGGGTTGCCCGAAATTGCATGCTGAGAATCCTCAAGTTGGAGAGAGGGGAACCATGGGACCCCTCAGTACATGGTCTAAGGGTTTAGGGTTTAGGGTTTAGGGTCTAGGGTTTAGGGTTTAGGGTTTATGGTTTAGGGTTTTAGGGTTTTAGGGGGTTTAGTGGGTTTAGGATTTAGGGAGCATGGTCCTTAAGCTTTCTTAGAGGCTTGTTTTGTATAGGGTATACAAAGGGTGATGGACGAGGCTCCCCAGATGAAGGGCCCATATTCAGGGCTCATGTAACTACCCTACTTGGAAGCCCTCCGAAGTTAGTAATCAGGGTTAGTAAGTTGGGTTATGGTGATATGGTGATTACTATAGTGTTTCTAGAGGGAACGAAGCCGACTTACTAAGTCAGAAGAACTTCCAAGTAAGACGTAGTGGATACTAAACAGCCGCCGTTGGGTCTTTGAATCTGAAAGCCCTGTATCCTAGACCCTTTTACCCTGCAATATAGGGGTTGGAAGAATTGCTGAACATAGCCCCTCATGGTCCCTATATACATATACCACAATAAATCCCCAAAACCGTATTCCAATGATTATGGCCCCTGAACCTAAACCCTAAACCCTAAGCCATAAAACCCTAAACCCTAAACCCTGTTGGCTACTGTGAAGGAATTCGGCCTTCGAGAGATCGCCACAGTTTACGGCGTCGGCGTGCTGGCGGTGGTGGCTCCGGCACGTCCCTTTCCATTGGTTTAGGGTTTAGGGTTTAGGGTTTAGGGTTTAGGGTTTAGGGTTTAGGGTTTTAGGGTTTTAGGGTTTAGAGTTTAGGGGCTTAGGGTTTAGGACTCCTTACTTCAGGAATGTCATTTGAGCGTTAAATTCGGGGTCCCAATAACCCGAAACCGGGCAGCCCCAAACTCTCAACCCCAAACCCAAAGGCTCCAAAAAGGCCAAAGTAGGTATTATGTATCGACGTTATAGACACCAATGTACATCTTTTTTCGTATACTTGGAGCCCTAAGGAAACAGTAAGCCTGAAACAAAGCGTCCTGGAGGCACCGGGTTGAGTTTGATGGGTGCACGCGGTCTTGCTCAGATGGTTCGACCATCGCTAAACCCTAAACCCTAAACCCTAAGCCCTAAACCCTAAACCCTAAACCCTAAGCCCTAAACCTTAAGCCCTAAACCCTTAACCCTAAGCCCCTGAACACTCAACCCTCAACCGTCTCCTGGAAGTACCCATCCCCAAGTCCTGCTTCTGGCGACTTTCGATGACAACTACATCTTCCCACAACAGGAGATATGCGTGTTTCCCCTTTCTGGGGTTTAGGGCTTAGGGCTTAGGGCCTAGGCTGTAGGGTTTCGGGCTATGTATATATATGCAAGAGACAGAGAGAGAGGGAGTAGAGAGAGAGAGAGAGTAGAGAGAGTAGAGAGAGTAGAGAGAGCGAGAGAGAGAATAGTTCTTTAGGCAAGTTGCGAAGCCCTGGAGCAGGCCAGGCCCCCCCTAAACCCTAAACCCTAAACCCTAAACCCTAAACCCTAAACCCTAAACCCTAAACCCTAAACCCTAAACCCTAAACCCTAAACCCTAAACCCTAAACCCTAAACCCTAATTAAACCCTAAACCCTAAACCCTAAACCCTAAACCCTAAACCCTAAACCCTAAACCCTAAACCCTAAGCCCTAAACCCTAGACCCTAAACCCTAAACCCTAAACCTTCGTTTCTGGAAGGCAGGGGCCTTCCTCATGGCTCTGTCCGGCTACTCGCGGCGCCTGGCGGATCTGGCGAGAGGCGCTCGTCTCTTTCTTTGGTTGGCTTTTTAGGGGCTAGGGTTTTTGGGTTTTTGGGTTTTAGGGTTTTAGGGCTTTAGGGTTTTAGGGTTTTAGGGTTTTAGGGTTTTAGGGTTTTAGGGTTTTAGGGTTTTAGGGTTTTAGGGTTTTAGGGTTTTAGGGTTTTAGGGCTTAGGGATTAGGGTTTGGGCGGGAGTAACTCGGGACTTACTGGGGTCCCCCAATTAAAGGAACCCCTCCCACCCCCTTTAGCCCTTGAACAAAGAACCCCTAAACCCTTTTCCCTGAACCCCAAAACTCGAGGTACCTTCTGCATGGCCTTCGCCTGGTGCCTCCTCTTCGCCTCCAGGTGGATGTTTGAGCGACCAGCCTCCACTTTGCTGCTAGGAGGGTTAGGGGTTGGGGTTTAGGGTTCAGGGTTTAGAGTTTAGTAGGGTGACTGTTTTCTCAAGACACCCCCCAAAAAATGGACAAGAGAACTCTTGCAGTGCCCTTATAAGGAAGAACATATATATACATATATATATATATATATATTGCTTTTTGGCGGGGAGGGTTCTTAAGGAAATGGTAGTCTGAGGTTAGGACCAAGGTCTATCGCAAAGAAGTATGAAATTCGAATTTGCTGGTTTCATTTTCGAAGTTGTATGTGTTTCCTATTTCTCTGGTTGTCATGGCGGCTATCAGAATTTTTGGTTAGGTCTTGTGATGGTCTAGGTAAACCCTACATGTCACTACATGTCCTTCTGGAACTCCAGCTCATCATTCTCTTCAGCTGCAGGGTTGAGGAACGCTCTCGAACCCCCTAAGATCAAAACCTTCAGCCCCGAACCCGAAAGCCTCCCCCCTCAGTGCACGTTCGGGTTCAGGTGTCTGTTGTGTTTTGGGCGTGGCTCTGTGAGTGTTCCCAGGCCCCTAAACAGCCCTAAACTCTGCAAGCCCTATAAGCCCTAAGAACCCTACCAACGCTGAGGTCCTGGAGGCTGCTCGTCACCCTAGACGTATCGCCGCGGACGATTGAAGGCACCGATGGCACTGCGCATGGAAGTGGTTGTGCACTTGGAAGCTCTTTTGACTTAGTAAGTTGGTTCAGGGTTCAGGGTTCAGGGTTCAGGGTTTAGGGTTTAGGGTTTAGGGTTTAGGGATATTCTGATCCCTGGCTGTCTTGGGGCGTGGGTAACTTTGAAGGGGGTGGGGGGGGGGGGGGGGGGCTGTGGGCTGGTGATCTACCTATGCACGTGCCAAGCCTGGTTCAGGGCCTAAGGTTTAAGGGTTGATTATGGGTTCTCCGACTACCAATACTCCCCCCCCCCCCCAAAGTCCCCCCATAATTAGGGCTATTTAGGGATGATTAAGCCTAATTGAGGTTATTTAAGTTAACCGGGGGGGGGGGGGGGGGTGGGGTAGATACAGAGGGGTAGTAGGGAAACCCATGAAAGCCCTGAGTTTAGTTGCAGTTTACAGGAAAAGGCCACAGCCTTTCTCGTTCCAGGACGCGTGGTGCTCGCGCTGTTCCTGTCGACCTTCACAGGCTGCTGTGATTCGGTGCCTGCGATTTTCGGTTTTAAGGTTTAGGGTTTAGGGTTTCAGGCTTTGGGGAATTTGGGCCACGAGCTGAAAAGTCGCAAGGTTCAAGTGTGTAGCATCAGGGCCCTGGGAGAATCCAGAATGTGAGACTCGTGCCCTACATACACCCCACACATATACAAACAAAAACAAATGTACATAAATAAATGTATGTATATGTATGTATATATATATATACATATACATATGTTGTGTATTTGTTTTCATTTATGCTTGTTTTCACATATCTATCTAGGTTCAGGGTTTCTGGGTCTAGCCCTGACACAGAACCCAAAGGGACCATTTGTAGTACTATTATGGAATTGGCTTACCAAATACGGTTTCTGGGTGCCTAATTCATTCCACAATAGCACTGCAAATGGACCCTCTGGGGAAGATGAGCAGCTCACTAGATTCACGTGAAGTCTCTGCGCAGCCTTCGCCATCATTGTCCTGGACAAGTTCGAGGAGTTTGCAAACAGGGTTTATGGTTTAGGGTTTAGGGTTTGGGGTTTAGGGTTAAAGGTTTAGGGTTTAGGGTCTTGTCGAAACCCCCTGAGTGCTTCGGGATACGTCGGTGCACGTCTAGAACCTGAAGTTGGGGAAGTGCCGCAGATGGGCCAAAGGGTACTAATTAGGTAGGATAAGGGGGACCCTAAGCCCTAAACCCTAAACCCTCTTAACAGGGAACCCTTCTGAACCCTCTGCTGACTCTCTTAAACAGGGACCTTATTGAGAGGGTCTATAGCCCCCAGGGTCCCCCTAATCGTATCCCCTAAAAGGACACATCCAGGAACCCTAAACCCTAAACCCTAGACCCTAAAAGCCCCCAAAAGGACACATCCAGGAACCCCAGACTGGCACATAACGTTGCCCGGGCCCCCAGAAGGGCCTTAACTTTAGGGTTTGGGGTTTAGGGTCTAGGGTTTAGGGTTTCAGGCAGGAGGCCAGAGAGGGAGGGGGGGGGGGGGACGTGTTTAGGATTTAGGGTTGTAGAGCTCTGAAACCCTACCCCAGAACCCTGAAAGCTGGATTCAGGGCCACGGACTTGAGGATGTTTAGGGTTCATCGTGGTTGAGGCTCTTGGGGGGGGAGATGGGTTCAGGGCTTGGGGTTCAGGGTTCAGAGTTTAGGGGAAATATGCAATCACTGCGCATGATTCTGGAAGGTATCAGGGTTCTCGGGGGATGACCCTAAACCCTAACCCATCGCAGCGTGAGTGGTCAAGAGATTTGGGATTTCATAAGGCATGTGAGATTTCAAGGTCAGTATGTGTTATCTCAACCAGGGCTCCAACATCCCGAATTATAGGGGAGAATCCTTCATTGGCGTCCTGGCATGATTTTGGGAAAACCTTCCTTATTGGAGAACAGGCCGAGGAAGCCACGCTCAGCAAGCAGGGTGGCTCAAAGTGTGAGGTGACAAGCACCTTTTCTAGCCTCGTCCCTACAGCATCTCCATCGGCGGCCAGAGCCACTGGGCTCTTGAGGGGCATACTGTAACGTGTGTCTGGTTTTGTTGCTTTCTGGGTTCCGAAGTCGATTCAGACGGCCCAAACAAGTACACTTCTTGAGCTTTCCTTCAAAGCCTAGGCCATGTGCGACAGCAACTCGCAAGCGAACGAGCAGATGGTGACTTTGTCATAGTTGGGTACCATTTTACATGTTTAAGAGTACTTAAACCCTATTAGGAAGAGAATTGTTAAACATTTATCCCAACCATGAACTAGGTGAGGATGAAGCGAGGGAGTGTGTTGCCGGCATCCGTCGTGGAGGACACCTTCACCGAATATAGGGCCCTCATGACTTGGATTTTCTGGGCCCTGTGGCTCCAAACAATGCTGTATGTGGTTTAGGGTTCAGGGTTTAGGGTTTAGGGTTGAGGTTTTGCGTCGGATGGGCCCAGGGGAAGATTAACATGTCCTGGGAGGGACCCTCACTGCACCTCTCAATGCCAAGCCTACTTATCCAGAGGAACATATAACACCCTAGGGGCCCATGTTCTTTGTTCTTATATACTTGGGCCCCAAAGTCCCTACATAGGAAGTACTTTAAGGCCCAAGTAGTCCCTATATAGGTACATGTACCCTTTTTTATGGAGATGTGCAGTTGCTCTTGGTTTCTAAACAGAAGCCAGAAACCTCGTTTGAATAAGTTGACTCGCTTTATGGTCCCGGGAGGCCCCCGGAAGCCCATCACAAACATACTTCAGCAAAAGCGGTGCTGGGCTCAAAGCCATAGGGTTTAGGGTTTAGGGTTTAGGGTTTAGGGTTTAGGGTTAGGGTTTAGGGTTTAGGGTTTAGGGTCAAAAAACGTCTGTAGCTTGGGTCCCCAAAAGCCCCGACTAGATACGTTAGATTTACTTTCAACTGTCAGGGTTTGAGCAGGGGGAGGAGGGTGCCATGGGGGGCACCGGGGGGAGGAGCGGGGGGTTCTAGAGAATTAAGGGGGTTTTTAGGGCTTCGGTTTTTCAGGGTGCAGGGTGTAAGGGTTTATAGGGATTTTGGGGTTTTGGGGCTAAAGGTTCATGATCTACCCCCTCCTGGTGGTGTGGTTGTGGTGCGTGTTTTTTTTGGTTGGGGTTGGGGTTGGGGTTGGGGTTAGGGTTAGGGTTAGGGTTAGGGTTAGGGTTTTTAGGCTTAGGGTTTCAGGGGTTAGGGGGCTTGAGGGCATAGCCAAAACCCTGTCGACTCCTCTCAACCCCTGTGGACCCCTGTGGACCCCCATCTCGGGGCCCCCCCATCACCGGACCATACCCTTGGGATTAGGTTTATGGTGAGGGTTCAGGGTTCAGGGTTCAGGGTTTAGGGTTCAGGGTTTAGGGTTTAGGGTTAAGGGTTTAGGATTCGGAGGCCGGGCGGGGCAGGGTGGGGGGAGCCGGGGCGGAGACGCCAGGCGCCTGACCACATATATATATATATATATATATTTTTTTTTTTTTTTAGTTTTTCCCCCGTTGGGTGTTTCGAGCCCACATACCTTCTCTTGATCAGGCCCAACCCCCATAGGCAGAAATGCCACCTGCCACACCCCGAAACTGTCTAGGACCAAGAGTAGGCCCTTATTCCTTTGTTTATGGTTTATGGCTCCCTTAGAAGCCCCTTTAAGCCAAAAAGGGCTCCTTTTTTTATTCCGAGGTTACTCCTGGATCTAGCTAAATTACTTCACAAATTGAATCCCGAAACCCTAAACCCCAAACCCCAAACCCTGAACTGCCTCTCCTGAGAGTTTAGCAGTCAACAGTGACAGAACCACGCCCTTGACTCCCAGAACAACCGGGTGCGGTTTTCCCGACGCGTGCGTATTTAAGGGGACATATGGTAGTAGGAGAAGGGTAGCCCTCGAACAAAAAAGTTCAGCAATATAGTCGAAATTATCTAGATGTCTCTAGGTATGGGGTTTCGGTTTGGGACGCCCGGTCGCCTCGAAACTCCTCCAGGAAATTTTGGCCACCGCGGCCACTGCCAGCGCCGAAGCGCCGAACCGTGCGATGAAGAGACGTGTCCGCCAGCGCCTGCACAAGAAGCTCGGGTGTATGCCCCACGGACACAAAACACCTAAACCCCAAACCCCAAACCCCAAACCCCAAACCCCAAACCCCAAACCCTAAACCCTCAACCCTAAACGCTAAACCCTCAACCCTAAACCCTAAACTCTAAACCCTAAACCCGTTTTGTTAGAGCTTTGGGGGATGTTCAGGGATGATCCCCATGAAGGTAGACCATGAACCCAAGTAGGGCTCATGGTTCTCTTGCACGGGAGCGAGGGTCCAGAGGCTTCCGGGCGCAAGAGTCGCTGGAGTAGAGCTGTAGAATTACAGGATCCTTGGGGGTGGAAGCTTTAGGGTTTAGGGCCCTTTCGCAACCCAATGTGCCATCAACTTCACTGGTTCCCTTTAAAGCTTCGCCAAGGTTCCCCAGGAGGTTTAGGATTTTGCCCTTGGAGGCCCCTCCCTCCATCAAAGCCCAAATCAAGATGAGAGAGAGATATAAGCAATAGCTACCATGAATTGAGGTAACCATGACCCCCCCCTTGTTTAGGGTAGATGGGTTTCTCTCAGCCCTAGACCCTAAGCCATAAACCCTAAACTCAAGGCTTAGGCCGCCCCTCTACAGTTTGGGGGGGGGGGGGGGCGCTGGGCGCTCAGATCGCAAGCCGACCCCAGTCTCAACCCTAGACCCTAAACCCTAAAATCCTAAACCCTAAACCCTAAACCCGAGCTCTGGAACCCTTGAAGCACTGGACGGAAGAGTTGTTTTTTTTGGAAAAAGGCGGCAGTTCACTTCGGTTTAGGTTTACACACGAAATGGAACGGGTTAGGGTGGTTTTGCCGCCTGAGACGGCGTGGTAGATGGCCCTCCACCGTCGGGCCATAGCTGCTAGTCGCCTTTCACGAAGCTTTCGAAGCTTCTGCGCCATATCACAGCAAACCCTACACCCTAAACCCTTGCTCTAAACCCTAAACCCTAAATATCACAGCAAATCCTAAACCCTAAACCCCTACTCTAAACCCTAAACCCTAAACCCTAAACCCCAAACCCTGTCAGCTGGGTGCCCAGCCGGAAGGTTACAGGATGAAGACTTCGAGAAAGCTATGGACCGCTTCAAGGTGATGGAAGACGGTTTAGGCTTTAGGGTTTAGGGTTTAGGGTTTAGGGTTTAGGGTTTAGGGTTTAGGGTTTAGGGTTTAGGGTTTCAGAAAGGGACGCTGTGGGGGCCCAGATTTTGCACATGGTGGATTGTAAGGGTTTAGGGTTTGGGTTTAGGGTTTAAGGCGTCAGGGCTTCGGGCTTTAGGGCTTTAGGGCTTTAGGGCTTTAGGACTTTAGGGCTTTAGGGCTTTAGGGCAGGGCTCTAGGGCTTTAGGGCTTTAGGGCTTTAGGACTTTAGTGCTTTAGGGCTCTAGGGCTGTAGGGCTTTAGGACTTTACGCTGTAGGGCTTTAGGGCTTTAGGACTTTACGCTTTAGGGCTTAGGGATTGTTTATCGGGCTTTCGTTGGAACATTCTTGAAGGCGATGGAAGACCAACAAGTCAACGACACCTCAAAGCCTTCGACCCCTCGTGCCTTAGCTGAGTCGCTCTTTTTTTTTGTTTTGGGGGGGGGGGGGGGGGTTAGGGTTTAGGGTTTAGGGTTTAGGGTTTAGGGTTTAGGGTTTAGGCTTTAGGGTTTAGGGTTTAGGGTTTAGGGGGGGGGAGAGGTGTGGGTGTGGGTGTGGGTGTGGGTGTGGGTGTGGGTGTGTGTGTGTGTGTGGGGGGGTAAATTCAGTGATTGTGGATGTGTTTGAGACTCTTCTCAAGAGCCCCGTGCACCTTTCTGACCTTTCTGTGTGTGTGTAAACTTTTTCACAACACACCTAGGCTGCCCAGTAGTACCCTTATTCCCTTCTTAGGGGGGGTTTAGGTTCCCTTATATACCCCTTTAAGCAAAAAAAGGGGCACCCTTTTTCAGCCTAGGTTACTGGGCAGCCTAGACACTGAGGCATCGACTCAACGCCATGCCATGAAGTTTCTCCCACGATGTGCTCCGCTGCCAGCTGTCCGCAAACCTTCGTGGCAGTGCCCTTGATGATGCCACTAGTGACTTGGTTGCCTAGTGACACCCTTTCCCTTTTTTGGGTTCCAGGTTCCCTTAGAAAGTCACCAACCCAAAAAAAGGGTGCCCTTATTAGAATATGTTTACTGGGCTACCAGGTGACCACCATGCCCATGCCAATGCAGCAGCCCCTACACTTCGTGCCCACGGTGTATCCCGCCCAGCCCATCCAGCAGATGCAGCACATCATGCAACCCACCATGCCCATACCCACCATGCAGGCGCCCGTTGCGCCAGCCATGGGAACCAGTCCCCAGTTGCCAGCTGGGCTCAAGGAACA